CAATAAGACTCCTCTCCCAGGAGTAGATCATCTCCATTTTGAGTTCCGGGTTTGATTGTCCTGCTGAGTCTACAGTTCGCCTGATATCGTTTTTCGCTGCATCTTTATGCTCTTCCTTCCATGTAGCGTTCGCCTTCAAAAGGTTATTTTGCATCTTTGGTCGTTCCCTGTCTCGCGCTGTTGTGAGTTGTTGTTTGAACATCGACTCCGTATCTCTACTCTGAGTCCCCTTTTCGATGACATTTCGATTCTCCCTCGATTAGTCTCCCTTGATTAGTCGATGTTGTTTGTCTAAATAGTCAGAACTTTTCATAATTCTATCACGCATTTTTTAAATTCAATTTTCGTGAGTCTTCAGAAATGCGCCTGAAATGGAGAGACTTGAACATTCTTTTTTATTCCATCTCGAATCGCGGATTATGGTGCTGAGGCAGAGTTCGATCAGACGCTTATTTTCTTCTAATACCCTTACCCCCAGTCTGGGCTGTGCCGTTTGGATTGTTCATTCTACTAGGCCGCAGCCCCGATGGTCTCCGATCGGGCAAAATTTTTGTTCGATACTGTTCTTGTACAAATATTCTCCTTGAAACCAGACAACTGGTCTAACAGAAACCATTCCGTAAAGCCATGTGTGTCAAAATATGTAAGCAAAATTTTTAATCTGGTCTTTCCATTTGTTGATTTAGTTACTTTTACTGGCGAAAATTTCGAAAATCTTCCGATAGCTACCAAAAAGTATATCTTTTTCCCGTTATGATTTTTTATTGGACCCGCGCAATCTTACTCGAGTTCCTGACCCGGCTGCGTAAGCAGTGGAAGGGGTTTTGAAGCGTTTTTGGAATTAATTATTTTAAGTTCTCACCATATCTGGTGCAAACACGGCATTCTTCCGCGAGATTCACTGTGTCCTCGTGCATATGATACCATCACAGGTATCTTATTACTCTCAGCATCGCTTCCTGTCCTGGGTGTCCTCAGTGATTTCGTTTCAATACTGCCGGACGCAGTTGTAAGAGTACGGCTAGTCGGTTGTCTACTAATATGCAATCATCTTGCATGGCCATCTGGTTCCACAACGGATTGGTATAGGGTCCCCACAGTTCAAATCCCTGCTTGTCTCCTCTCTCGATCGACCTCCTCAGCGTTTCCATCAGGGTATCTTCCGAGAGTAGCTCTGCTAACAAATTCTTTTCAAACAATTTTGAGAGATTGTCTAACGAGTCCCCTTTCAATTGTTTTTGCAGTTCGGTTTCCTTTCTGGAAATGTTACGATTTCGAGTTGGTGGTTCTATTGCGCAAACGTTTTCTTCGTCCTCGTTGCTCTCTGTTGTCGTGGTGAGATCGACCTCGATCAATTGGATGTCTCTTCGAAGTGACTCATTGGATTCTGACTAACTGCTAATCGCCGGGAAATGTCCTTCAAGCTCTCTTGTGTTGTTTGGCGGAGTGCTAGCTGCTCCACCGATTAACTGCCAGAAACAAAGCAGCCGACTATCGGCTTCCTTCTGTTGATCCTCCGAAAATTTCCATTTCACACGTGATGGCTGACGGGTTTCTTCGCTCTCCGAACTGTCCCGATTTTTCCGGCTTCCTCTGATTATCTTTCTTGGTCTCTGTAAAGTCTCTGTGACTTCCTCCTCCGACATATCGTTGGTATTGTGGAAACATCGGTTTCAGCGAGGATCCATAAGGTTTTTCTCACTTTCTTTGCATCGCCAGTGTTCCTGTGGTGTATCTGAACACCAGTCGTATCATTTGTTTGGCTGCTCGCTCATTTTGCTTCGTTTTCCGACGGAATATGAATTTTTCTTTCAGAGTTTCTGTCCGGCCGTTTTCTGAGTTGCAAAGAAGATAAAGTGTCTTTTTGGGGTAGAGTTTTTTGTTTGGCTGTTTAGGCGATCGCGAAAGTTGATTTATCTCGTTCCGGTCGAACTTGCTTCCCGCGTTCGGAATAATTTTTGATAGATGATTTACACTACCAAGAAATGACCTTATTTACTATAGCAATTTAGGTGGATTAGGTTTCTGAAAAGCTGCTGTTATGGTCAGTTTGGTCTGATTCCCGACTCTGATAGATGATGGCTTAACCAATCTAGCTCATTTTTGAAGCATTCATACTTTGAAATTTTAACGCCAAATTTTCTTCATCTAGGTTTTCTAAGATCTTTTTCATCAGTTTTTCAGGTTTTAGGTCATCTCCTTTTGATACACTGAGGATATCATCCAACCAAAGGGTAGTCGTTGCATGGTTAATTGTTCTGTCCATGATTTTTGGAAGTCGGCCGGCATATGTGCTAAGCTATAGAACCCGGTTTGGAATCTCTAAGTTCCTGTAGCATTAACCCCTACGAATATCAAAATTGTCGAGCTGTATCTGCAGCCAATTTTAATGAATGTATGCATACTTGAGATCAAGTACCGTGAAGTATATTGTGTCCATTTTGTCCTCAGTGACAATTTGGTTAACTCCAGCTATTAGTTCGTCAACGTTTGAAATTTGCTTTGCATCTAATTCCAATTTGCTTTGCGACTAATGCCAATTTGATCGAGTCACCTTTTTTGAGTTTTGTTAATTCGGTCAATTGTTATCAAATGGTCAATTTTAGTCTAATTTTAGCGAACAGGCTTATAGCAAGGCAATAAATTATAGATTAAGTTTAGTTTCACTATAAATTAAGTTTAGTTTCACTCCAGTTAATTTAATTGGCGAAATTTTTAAAACAGTTTCTTAGAAGTAATTTTTTGAAGAAAAGTTGAACCATACTTTTGCCCAATTGACATGAAAACAATTTTTCAAAAAGTTACAAAAAGTGTCTAAATGCTGAGAAAAACCGATTTTAAATTTCTGATTTTGAATCTAGTTTAGAGCAAATAAAGCACAAAAGCGGGTTTATAATAAAAAAATAAGCGATTATGTCAGCCGCAAAATTTGAATAAAACTCCAATCAAAGGAAGGAGTGTCACCTCTGAATTATTTTGAAGGAGCGTCACTTCTTTTTTGGGGTAAATAAAATTTCAGAAGTTTTTGTAAGCTATTAGGAAAAAAAGTTGAACATTTTTAAGATTAGTTGTTTATAATGTTTTTTATTCATCCTTCGAACGCGAGTTTTTATCAACAAAGCCTAATTTACTATTCATAACAAATATGCTTTAGTTTTATGGCTTCGTTCAGATCGTGTCATCATAGCACGCGGGGAAGGGGGAGCGTCATCTTATCATTATTGCAACACAACCATCAACACTTTTTCGGTGTGTATCGGTTGCTGTTTTCATTATTGGTTGTAAGTTCTGGCTGCTCAGGTGTCGCAAGTTTTCACCCATCATGTTCCATTTAAGTAAACTTTCTGGATCTAAATCATGTTAAATTTTGTTGGTTGCTCCGACCAGTGAGAAAGGGAAGGAATTTTTTTACGAGTTTTTTAGATTGTTTTTAGTTTTTAATTTTTTTCACGCAAAATCAGGTACGACAAATAATAATTATAATTGGTCGAGTGAAACATATTGAAACCCCTTCAGTCAATCCTGACTCTCGAATTACATTTTAAAAAAACCAAAAAAAAACAAGAAGCGAGTAACCTTTTTATAAGGAAATTGACTATTTAGGCTATGAAAAACATATCTTTTTGAAACAGAAAATTTATCGAAGATTCATGTAGCGCTTCCTTCGCAAAGAACAGTCAAGCATAAAAAAGGAATCTCTCAATCTGTGTTTCGAAAACCACAGCAACGGACTACTTTTTTTGATCCGACCACCAAAAGTGGGTTGCAACTTTGTCTTCGTTTGTCTATTATTTTTAAATTACTTTTAAAACTTTTTTCCACGCAAAATCAAGTAGCATAAACAATCATTAAAATGGATTGAGTGATATACCAAAGAAAAACATTTCTAATCCGGGAAAAAAACTCGAAGAACCATTAAAAATTTGAGTAATTTTGCATAAAAGTTGCAAAAAATTGCTGAAAGTTTGAAGGAAACTTCAAACTAGTTTCATTTTTTTTCTTCAATTTTTTGTTTGTTATTTCATTTCTAAAGTCAGCTGTAATTGATTAGAACTATTATTCTTTAGAACTTAAATTATTAGATGATTAGAACTTAAATTATTCGTTTTTTTACATCACTCCACGCGTCCAATTACAAAAATTATTTAAAAATTTTCATAGTTTTTTTTTATGATTTTGGTCGGAATTTTCTCTGCTACTTTATTTTATCTGTTTTTATATACTACTTACCTCTATAAGAAAGTTTTTTGGCCTCAATTAGATACCACACTTGACCCAATAAGACATTTTTCGAGTAACTAGTTTTTATGCGTGAAAAAAAAAACAATCTTGAAACCAACGTTTCTTTTCTGATTTCCCACTTCAACGATTCAAAGCACTTTTTGCTAAGTGGTTTTATCTCTCTGCGGTATGAAGAAAATCGAAAGGTTTACAAGAGAAATTGTCTGCTGTTCGAGTAGCAGATTTAGGGTGGCTTATTAGTACTCACCACTCAACATCCAGTTTTGGAGATTTTTGCTCTAAATTATGTTTCGAGCAACTAATTTTAAGTTTTTCCCAATGAACTTTATTTTAAGTTTTAAGTTTCGAAATGCAATTTTGCTTACACAGCTTCCTAAAAAATTTTCATTAGAATTTTTGGAAAATTTTTTGGGAAGCTGAATCAGTTTGCTTAAAAGAGTTCCGATTTTTTTCACCAACATTTGAATAATCCTTGAATGAAAAGTCTTTGTCGGTGTCTGTAGCACTGAATTGAAAATGCGATTATTTTCTTTTCATTAGCTAATATTTTATGTCCAAACTCCTCAAGGTTTTTTTTTCATTAGCTAATATTTTTTGTCCAACCTCCTCAAAGTTTTTTTTTATTAGCTAATATTTTTTGTCCAACCTCCTCAAAGGTTTTTTTTATTAGCTAATATTTTTGTCCAAACTCAAGCTTTTTTTCGCGCTGAAACTAAGACAAGAAAGAGTTTGAGAATGAGCATTTGGGCAACACTTACCAGATAAGGATACAAAAAAGGGAAGAAAAGTGGAACAGAAGATGAGAGCGAGTGAACAAAGTAAGAAGTGAGTGAAATTAGAATCAATCAACAAATGATTAAGAAAATGGAAAAGTGTTCAAAGCGATTAAAATTCTCGCTACTCTTCTCGGGGGAGGGGTGCGGTGTTTATTATTGATTTGTTGATTTTTTTAGCAACCAGGCGAATATAACTAACGATCGGGAAGAGAGAAAGATGAAAAGGCAAAGCAGAAAAAGTGAATTTAAGTGACGAGCAAAACGTTTTTTTTTTAAATCAACGGGGGTAAAAGGGAAATGAATTTAAATATTATCAACGTTTTGCTGCTGCTTTCAGAGAATTATTGAAAAGGGCAAACAAAAACACCGCGGCACATTTAACCAATTTAATTGTTGCGGCGCCTGAAACTGAAAAAGAAAATAATAAACAAACAGTGGATAAGTTTGCAGATTTTATATCAAAGAGGAAAAATAATTCACTAGAAAGGAAAAGCTTCTATGGGTTCTAATCTCAATTAAGCGGGAAAAACGATTAGACTTTGGGCAAAAAATGAATCAACAAACTTGAAGAAAAATGATTTTATGCCAATCGAATTAAATTGAAAAATTATTCAAATTTGTCAATTGGATTTTTGACTTCTAAAAATATCGAATTGAAGGAAACAATTGTTTGATGGCGGAAAACAACAAAAAACAAGTGCAATTTTTTGAAGGGAAAGTGAATGAAAAAGTATGCAAAGTGATTTATAGATATGTTTTGCAAGTAATGGGGGGAAAACAGGCAATTAGGCGCAAGCGTGGGGGATTTTTAACGGAAAAGATAAAATTAGCTCAATTAGAAAATGTTCAGTGGAGTGAAAATGGGGAAAAGTGTACGCGATAAGATATATGGAAAAAAGATAGTGGCGGAACAAAAGCGAAGGAAAACAAACAAAAGTGGGGAAATAATTATTCGGTTTGAGCAGAAAAAAACGGGATTATACATTTTTTACACAAAAAGCTCCAATTTGCAGTCTTGTGTTTGTTAAAATTTCATCCTCTTTCTTTTCTGTTTCTGTTCCGCCACAGTGGGGCTGAAAAGTGGGAAAGATAAGAAGAAAAGGAGGAAGCAGCGAAGAAATAAATGAACATGGTTTAGAATTGCACACAATCAACACCACAAACAACAACAAATATGTCGTTAATTCACAATCGGGCTGAATCTGATTGTCGTTGTTCTGATTCAACCAATTTGGAAAAAAAATCAGAGTTAGTTAGATGAGAAATTGCATCGTTTCTTTCCGACTTTCATTAAAGTTATCAGCATTTATGCCACCTTTAATGATATTTTTTGACAAACTTTGGTGACCAAATGCGAATATCAATTGACATATTTTCACATGTTCCTTCATTATCGGATTCAAGTGCAAGAGCTCTGGGTCGCAATTGGGTTAATCGAAGTCCCTCAGAATTCCACCCCCTAACCAGCAAAACGACCCATTTTTTCCTATCTAACGGGGTCAGTTATATGCGCAGGATTTTTTGAGAAAAGTTTCGATGATATTTTTTCTTTTTAGGTCAGTCATTTATATTTTTCGACAGACCTTTTTTTGAGCTTAGCGCTTGCGATACAGCATCAAGAAACTAGCAAAGTTGGAGAAAAAATTGAATTGACAAAACAAAAATGATCGATCGAAAAGAATAAGATTAGTTCGGAAAAAAATGACTAGACGATAGAATGTGAAATTAGCATTGTAGGAAAATTTACCAAGCAGTAACAAAGCCGAAAACATTTTAGCAGAAACCCTTTAAGCAAAAAAAAACAACAAGAAAAAAGACTTTAAAAAAGTTAATAAGAACCCCTCAACCTCAAACGCACACAATTGATGCTCGTCATATGAAACATTATAAGGCTACTAAGACAATTCAAAATAGGACAAACCCCTTAAGTCGAAAGAAAGCAAATAAAAATGAAAAAAGTTGAAAAAAAAATCCAAACAAAATTGGACAAATAATAAATTATGTTGTCAAGAAAATCTGTCATTTTAACAAAGGCGCTATTTTCTATCACTTTTCAAAAGCCGCGTTTGACGCCATTATAAACTAGTTTTGAAGGAGAGCGCACACTGAAAAGAAAACTTTTTTTTTGTCATAATTTTCCAAAATGTGGCCTTTTCAAGGAGTTTTGAAGTGTTTTTCAAAAAGTTTGCCTGAGGCGCAAAATATTTAGTCAAAATAAGCTCTCTTCAGTTTTCTGGGTGCGCTCGCGGTCCATTCCTGCATGTTGAAAGTTTTTATTGTTCTTGATTGCTCATGTCGTTTTCAACAAGCTCTTCGCAATTTTTTGTTAATTATCTAAATGATTTTCTCATTGTTTATACATTTGACGTGCAAAAACGTCTTAATACCAGTTAAAAAAGTCTGATTTAAATCAATTTGTAATGCAATCAGCGTGCGAAAATTTGTTACCGACGCCAGATATAATTTGCAATATAACGCACAGATGTTGAAGGCAGGCATGCGCTCTCGAACTAAAGAAAAGTATGATGTTTATTTTAAAAAAGTTCTGCATAAAACTTAATTGACTCAACTTTATTAATAGACAAAAATGACTTATTATTCCAGTTCTTTAAATATTAATACATATGTCGAGGAAATTTGGATGCTATTATGATTTTGCTCTAAGCAAAAACAATGGTGGTAAAAGCAAACACGGCATAAGAGTTTCGGATCTGTGTGACTTTAAAGTTCTGTCCACCGTGATTTGGATGTCGGAAATAAAATCAACCAAGTAAAACCTGGGCAATGGGTAACGCTGAAAAAAAAAGAGAAAAAAACCTCTTCCGAAAAACAGAAGAATGTTCCTTAAATTATGACCACTAAAAATCAGACAATTAGCCGATTAAAAATAAGCTGAAATCATTTGCGCAGAAGGAAAATTTTTAAGTGATAAGAAACACACAGGAAAAAATGTAGAAGTCAAAACTTTTAAAACAACAAACATCAGAAAAAACACTGAAAGTAACTACAAGGTAACTTGTGGACAGCAAAAAAAAACAATTCTATGATGGGAAACTGAGCGGACAAAACACATAAGCAGACAAATAGTCAGCCGAGAGTTTCTTGAAAAGGAATATTTAGAGTTTGTAGGAAAAGAGAGGCCCTGTCAGATTTGAACTCAGGACCATGCCGTCCCAGGTATATTCGCTACCTCCAGACCAAGTGTAAATATTCGTTACCTCCAGACCACGATAAAATTGAATTTATTGTCAACTGAACCTAAATGTACCATTCTGATTTTTATCATTGTGATTTAAAGTTATTTACGTGAAAAAAGTCTAGTACCTAATTCGAAAACCCTTGCTTACCGCAAGGGTAAACACTCTGAAAATGTTATCTCTTCTTAGCTTAACACAGATATATCTTGATACGATATCACTCGCAAACCAAAGAAAGTTCAGAACAAGTCCTGGAGCAAATTTCCAAGATCATGATCGCCATAAAGCAAAATTAAAAAAAAAACATTTAGTTTTGAAATTCTTTTTTTTTATAGTACCAAATCTTCTTATAGTGTTTTCTTGCAGTATAAAATCTTTAAAAAAGACAGAATTTAAAATAAAAAAGACCTCGAAACTTTGAAGACAAATCACAACAAGACTGTTCGTCTCAGGGCGAAGCCTTGAATGTTCCGACTGCCTTTTAAGGTTTATGGAGCAGCAATAATAACATAAAAAATTTAAGGAAATAAAAAAAAATGAAATTTTTTTCTTTTAATTTGAAATTTTTTTTATAAAAATTATCCCCCCACACGCAATATAAAGTACAAAAAGATAGATTTTGTTCCTTGTAACAAATCAATTATGGCAAATAAGCTTCGTTCAATTAGTTTGGAACGATTTATAAGACGGATTAAATCTCCGCTTACGCGTTAATAGCGCGAATTATATTGCGCGTTAATTGTCCCAAATTGGTCAAAATGGAAATCTTTAAACCCTCATAACTTTACGCAAAATGATCACAGGTGAAATATCTTTTCAAATTTAAGCTCATGACAACAATGGCTTTCGAATGATATAAAAAAATTCCGTCAAAAATGGCTAGTTAAAAAGTCGAATTTTGTCTGAAGAAAAAAAAACCCACCCCGAGCATAAATATTCCGTTACTTTCGTATCGAAAGTCGGAACAAAAATTCTTTTTGCCAAACATGAGAGAAACATTTAATTAGCCTTGAATACTACAAACTATGATGGAGAAAAGCTTCTCCAAATTATTTATGATTATCAATATTTTTTAAGAAATTTTAATGAAAAACGCTACACTAAAACCAGCATACTTGAAATCTCTGCAAAAACACTTGATAAAAAGTGTATTTCCAGATCAAAATTTCCCGCTTTATTTTATAGAATGACGCTGATTTAATAAGAGGCATCTAAGCTAATGTTAAAACTTTTTTCAGCAATGATGAAATATCGATAACTTATTGCGCTGAGTGAGAGATTTCAGCGATGAATCAGCGCAACTTCATCAATAAAATAAGGTTTGCAAGTTGAATTTTTCTACAGCTTTTATAAGGTTTGATTTTCCCATTTTGAAGATATTTGAACAAAACGAAAGAGAGCGAGTCGCTAAAAATGGATTGCACTATTGCTAAAGCGTATGTAATCAATGAATTGCACATATAGCGCGCAGTTTTGAATTAATTTTATAACAAAAATATTAACTCGTCAATTTTTATATGTAAAAATGTTCCTACAAAAAATCACTTTTTTCTACTGATGCCTAAAAAACACTCCTTCTACTTGGAGATCTCTAAATCTTAAGGGGATTCTTTTGAAACTTAAGGTTTGCCCTTCATCGAATGACTTTACTATAATGAATCACTCTGATTAAAGTTTTTTGTCATTGGAGCCCACTTAAAATCTCGTTGCTTATTCTTTACTACTTTAGCATGAAAATTGAAAATCTAATTTAAAATCTTTTCTATTTCATCGCTTAATATTCATCGCTATATTAGTGCTATTTTAGCATTGAAATTTGCTACTGGGGTCACGATTTAAAAGTTCATTGCTAATTAAATGCAAATTCGTCGCTCAACTTTTTCGATTTCTCCAGTTCTGAATCAGTGTTAGTTATTTGGGTAAATGGTTAGCGCTAAATCATTGATTGCGAGCGCTGTTTTTTAAACCATTTCTAGTGTTCAACGCACACCCAAATTGAGATGCATTTAATTGCCATAAACAGGAGCGAAACTAAGACATTTGCGAAAGTTTCTCCTCCTATTTCCGTGTTTCCTTAACCAGTAAGAGATCTTACTTTTCCGAAGAGTTTTTTTTGTTGCAGACACAGTTTTGAAATAATAAAACATTACCATCTGTGGGAATTTTTTTAACAAGATTCTGATTTAATAACTTTATTATTAAAGCGCGCGCTGGCTCTCAAAAATACTAAATGAATTACTAGCTCCAAAGGCTATATTCTAGTTGATTAAACAAACGGATATAAAAGTTTAAAAGCAGTAAAAGAGAGATTTTGGATGGACAGGGCGACAATGAAGCTCAACCGAATAGATCTTTTTCAAGCAAAACGTTGAAATCGATTTCTTTAAATATAACTCACCAATGATGCTGGAGATAGATAGTCGGTGGCAAGCAGCAATCATTGCCGTTTGAAATGCATCAAATCAAAACTAATATTTTTACTGAACCAAAAAAGCCAATTAAAAGTGAGGGTATAATAAAATTTATGGTATCAACTAACAAAACGGTTCAGCGGAACCAACAGACGTTTGTGTAATTTATCAGAAATGAAAGATCCGATTTACAGTTTCGCAGTAAAGTTGTTAACATATTTCCCCTTCGGCGAACATTCACAGCCACGAGAAAAGAAAAGCTTTGAATGGTAACTATTAGACGTAAACTATCATTTATATGGTGTCAGTAACAGATCTCACAGACAAAAAGCCATAAAAACAATGGTTTAGTACAAGTTATTAAAAAGTACCAACAGAACATATGTCTAGTATATGTATTTAAAGAGGTGTTGTGTTTAATTGCAACTGCATAACTTTTCACAGGTCATTCTAATTGCTGAAAAATATCTTAAGTTGGTGTGTTATGATCACTTCGTTAACTAATTGAATCGCTCTCCAAACTTGTTAAGAGTCACTTTTTGTCACAATACATAAAACAAAAGGGGGAGCTGTTCGCCATTCTTGCATGTTGAAAGTACTTATTGTTCTTAGTTCGTCATGTCATTTTCAACAAGCACTTCGCAATTTTTTGTTAACTATCTAAATGATTTTCTCATTGTTTGTACATTTGCCGTGTAAAAAACCTCTTAATACCAATTAAAAGAGTCTGACTTAAATCAGTTTGTAATGCAATCAGCGTGCGAAAAGTTGTTACCGGCGCCAGATATAATTTGCAATATAACGCACAGGTGTTGAAGGCAGGCATCACTCTCAAATTAATCAAAAATCATGATGTATCTTCATATAACTTAATTTTCTCAACTTTATTAATAGACAAAATTGCCTCAATACTCCGGTTCTTTAAAGATTGATACGTATGTCGAGGAAATTTGGATGCTGGTATGATTTTTTTAAAGCAAAAACAATGGTAGCCAAATCAAACCACAGTAAATGAGTTCGCGGAGTGGTGTCGCTTTACAGTTTTGTCCACCGTGATTTGGATGTCGGCATAAACGCTAAAAAAATTCTCAGCTCAAAAATCTTTATTCTTCCTCAAGTCTTTCAATTTATATAGGAAACACCGCATGTTTGGTAATTTTTTTAAAAATTTTGTTTCACTGTACAGCACTGTTATGTGAATTTTTTCAAGATGTAACTGCCAAATAGAATCAGCCAAGTAAACCTGGCAGTGAGTAACGCTGAAAAAAAAGAGAAAAAATAAGGTCATTCCCTAACTTTGGACCACCAATTGAGAAAGATCGCGTTCCAAACGTAGTGCGACACTTAAAAATATTGACTTCAATACAACAACATGTTGAGCATCAATAGAATTCTACGTACTGGTTTTGTGAATAGGGCGTTAATACTTTTGGGAATCCTCAAAGAACGATAAGTATGATAAATGAAGGAGAGGATTTTAAAGTGAATCGTGCTATCAATACGCACCAATGCAGAGTAACTAAAGTTGGTTCACGAATGACGAGTAATCTTGCGGATAAGTTCTGCTGCACTCGATTGAACACGTCGATTTTTTTCTAAATAAATCCTGCAGTTACCATAGGATTTTTTCTTCAAAAATTTATTAATAGTTTTAGTCTTCCATGAATTATTTAAAAAGGGTTTATGCAATCTTTTTTTCTCTAACAATGACAAGTATCAAAAAGAATGCAATCTATATCACAAAATATTACAATAAAAGAAAAACCTGACAAACTCAAACAAAAAATAAAGACCGACGGATACAGTGCAAATAGCACAGAATATTCCAACAAAAAAATTAGGATTTTTTTTTCAATTATTGTAGTTTTTTTGTCTGATAAATGAAAATGAAATTCTACATGGTCTGATCTGAACGAAATGCTATAACTCAAGCATGTTCGGCAATTATAGTAAAATAGGCAAATAGAAAACAATTTTTGCAGATAAATGTCTAGAAGAACAAAAAAATATGATAAAAATATTTTGAAAACTTTTAAAAACTTTTAAAATTTTGGTTCCTAAAATGGCGCTAAAAACTCAAAAAACTAATTTCATTTGAGTAAAACTAAATTTTCACAGCATAAATGAGCTAATGTCAAACTACTCACTCATATTATTTGCTCGAATTCATACTGAAACTCGAAATTTTCAAACAGGCTTTTCTCGACACTGGGATTTTTTTTTTCAATTCTGGACATTTTTTGAAAACGATTGTTCGAATCACGACTGAAAGGACTTGAATATTATATATAACTTGACCCATTATGATGATAACTTGTGGTAATTTTGCGTGGAAAACAAAAAAACTAAAACACCCAAAACTAAAACACCCTTTTTTGTTTGAGGCTGAATTTTTTTTCCACTAAAACAATTTTAAGTGGTTAAACATCGTTGCTGAGTTTTTAGCTTTGCTGATTCAAATTCAATATATTATATAAGGGTATGCAAAAATAGGTCTAATTTCACACGAAAAACTCATAATGGTTTTTTTTTCTTTGAAAATAATTGTCTTGTCTGGAGTACTAAAAATCTTTACTACCGCGCGGCATTCTTGCACACAGAAGCAAAAATGAGCTTCGCACCGCTGGTGATACAAAACAAGAAAGCCGCTGAGTCAGAAAAACATCAAATTAAATTAGAAAATGTCGAACAAACAAGATCTATCAAAAAATAAGGCTAGTTTTCAAATTGAAGAATAACATGCCAAGACAGTGGTACGTGAAATAAGCATCAGATGAAAATTTACCGAACAGTTACAAAGCAGAAAAATACTTTGGCAAAAACTCTCTAGGCCGAAAAAAATTAAGACACACGCACACACATTTTTTTGCTCCTCGAAAGTCGCAATGTGGCCCTTAAACCGATATTTTATAGTACAAAAACCTAATAATCCGAGAGAAAAGAAAAAACATTGAAGTAGAAAAAAAATTGTTGTCAAGAAAAACTTGAATTAGAATTTCTATTAAGATTTTAAGCATTTTGTTCGACCCAAAGGTGAGCAGTAAAATTTTATTTTCTTTGAAACGAATTGAAATTAGGTGACTAAGCCGATAAAAAGCAAACCGAATTCACTTGGGGAGAACAAAATTTTAAGCAAAAAACAAACATTATATGTAAACACAAATATGTAAACAACGACGACAAAACATAAGCAGACAAATAATGAGCCGACAATTTTTTTGTGAAACGGAATATTTCCCGTTTGAAAAAAAGCAGGTCTTGTCAGATTCGAACCAAGGATTTTTGCCGTCCTAGAGGTATTCGTTACTTCCAGACCAATTGCGCCGGAGACACATAAAAATTATAATTTTTTAAAAACTGAACCTAAATTTAGCTTTTATAATTTTGAACATTCTGTGCCTAAAGTTATTTACTGGAAAAGTCTAGCACACGATTGCAATACTCTTTTATTTCAAAACTCATTTTATTGAGAAAGAATCGGGTATCAGCGGCAAAGTTTTTCATGATTTGTTATGATTTTATTGTAAGCATCATGAGCTAGAGCATCAAAAACCGAACATGACTAGTTTTATGATAAAATCTGAACAAAAAATTGAAAGTCTCACATTTTTACTGGACTACAAAAGTTAAGACAAATTCACAAAGGTAGACGCTCGATGCCTCCCAGAAAACCGTTATCTGTCCTCTTTAAGTTTCAGTTTTTGATGTTGCATGACTTGTTACAACATTTTACCGGAAAATTTTGTATTTTTGTTAATAAAATCGATTTTTTTTCTACCTTTAAAATCCATTTAATCCATTCTAAATTGATTTACTTATATAAATGAGCTATCGTAAATCGCTTTTTATACTGTATAGTATCTGCATAAAATCCATTTAAAGCAATTTCAATCTCAAATTTGTCAGTGCGGGTTATTTTTTCACCGTGAATATTTTGCCTGCATAACAAAAACTCAATAAAGCTTTGAGCTGCGAGCTAGATAAGCTTTCAGTGCTTCTCTAAAAATAGTTCAGGAGCGGCGAAACAATAGCTGGTTTCCGCTTCAGGTTTCCGCCTCTCCGACAAAAAGTTCGCTAGTTCAAGGCCGGCCATTATCCGTGCTCATTGCTTGTGATGATGAGGCAATCATTCTCACTCAACAAATTGGAACAATCGTCGTAATCTCACGCAACAAGATGGAGCTATTGTCGAAAAAGCTCCAATATTAGTTTCAGTTTGTGTAACTTTTGGAATAAAAATTATATATCCGTAAACTGAATTGACAAACAGACTGCTCAAGTCAAGGTGAAGATCTGAATGTTCCAGCTGCCCTTCAATTTCATTGGATTTGTTTTTGGTTGAGTTATTTGACATACATTTTTTGTTTTTCTTTGAAATTCATCCATCAAACGCAATTTTTCAATCAAACGCAATTTTTCAGTTTTTAAATTATTTTATTGTATTCAGTACTGCGTTTTTTGAACCGACTATAATATTCTAATTCTTTGGTAGTCGAGTATAATTTCATTAAATTTTTTTTTCGAAAAACTAACTTAATTCTCTCGGTTCACAAATAGCTGATCAGTTTTTTAAGTTTGGCAGCTCCGTTAAAAGTTCGATTGCGCAATTGGCACAAGTCTTTTTCTTCATCCCTAATTTACACATCGTTTCCCTGAAACAGAAAAAATCTCTCTTCCTTAAAAACTAGAAACGAAAAACTGAACTTTTTGTGAAGTAACGAACTACAGTACTCTGTTTTTGTAGAAGCATTCCCAGATTTTCTGATGGAGCATAAGAGACCAGTTGATAGCCAGACCCGGTCTGCAAACCGGCAAAAACACGCAAAATATCTCGTATAGAAACAGCTCGTCCAAACTGTCAACACTCAATGGCGATCGTTTTTTTGCACTTGAAAACGCCTGCGTCTCTCGAACACTTCGATCATCTGTGTCGAAGCTGAGTTGCCGAGTACCGGTCATTTTTCGTCTTCGTAGTTGAAGACTCTCATCGGGCACTCGGGTTTTTCCCGAACCCAATAGAAACTGATAGGTAAAAACGAAGTTAGCATCTCGCCATATAACATCTTCAGTTGCGCTGGTTTGCTCAAGTAGGTATCTACCAGTGTTCAAAGCTATTTTCAAGTGTTCTATGAAGAACGTTTTTTGACGTCGGTTTCCTTTTAAAGAAGGTTTTAGAACCAGTTCTGATCTCTTGTTGATGTGTATGAAATATACGAGTGAGGGGTAGTATCGTAGCTGACGTGACAGCCATTTCTTGGTTTGGATTTCTGTTCTTTTGTAAACCAATTCAGGGCACAGAGCAAAGACTCCCGTAAACTCCTTTCTACAAAAAAAAGAACCAATCACAATCTTGCATTAAAAAATAAATGAAATATTTATCGCTTAAGCAAATGAACATAAGATTGATGTGCAAACAAGGGCGGATCTAGGATTTTCGCGGGGGGGGGGGGGGTTGATTTTCCAAAACAATTCCGAATATTTTGTCGACCTTTTCTTATGCCGACGAAATAGATTTGGTCTATGCAGAACACTATTCCTAAAGAACGCCCTCCCCAATCCTCCCCTGTGTGCAGGTGTAGCAAAAACGGGCCAATAATTTTCTCTTTAGATATTGAAATCGTTTGGTTAAAAGTTCTGTCGAGCTGTAAAGATGTCCCAGTGGATTTCACAAACAGATCATTTTTTCGAGATTTTACAATACTGTGCTTGAGAATTTTAAAAAAAATCATATTATTTGTACTTATTGTTTGCTTAAGTTTCGCTGAACAAAAAAAAGGAGATAATAAGTGAAATACTGGAAAAACATACCTTAGTTTGATGATGTACTTGGAAAGAGAATTAAAGTGCTGTTTGAAGGTGTGCATCTTCATTGAACTTCTTCCGAAGAAGGGACCACAAAACAACTTCTCATAGAAGTATTTCATTGCATTCAGAACATCCAGACTTTTGGTGTGTTTGATGTCTGAAGAGTAGCTTGAGTTGAGAGCTATTTTCTGGAAGCTTTCATTTGCCAGAGTGACAAAATTGCGAGAGTCAGAAGTCTTCTCGAGCTCATCCAAAACAAACTGGAATGATACGCCTATTTCTGAAAATAAACAAAACTATAAGGGATATCATATTTGTGCACAGGCATAAAAATCAAACAATTGCGTGCATTTTTTCTGATAGCGATACGATATCAAACTTGATTTGATATTCCATTTAGCTTTAATTAATTCCGTCCATAAAATCCATAAATCATTTTGATTTTAAAAACCGAAAAACCGACTACAGGGCATCTACAACAAAGAGCTTTTGGTTTAAAACAAAACGTTCTTTGTTGAGCTTTTGATGAAAACTATTCTCCTGTACCTTTGGCGAAAAACTCGATTTTCTCCTTTTTTTCAAGGTCAGCTCCAGCAGCTGATGATAATTTCTTCAGATGTGAGGTGTACATCTGCAATAAGCGAATGGCCCTCTCAACTCCGAATGAGATGTCCCGCATGAAGTTCTCGTGAGCAGGACATCCGAACACCATCACCACGTCATCGTCTGGGAAGGGTTTGAGGAATACCACGTGACAGTGCACTAGGCTGGAGGAGGGGACTTTGTTGTCGGCTAGTTGGAAGGATACGGAAGAAGATGTGGAGGAGGGGTTGGTGAAGAGGTTTGAAGGGAGGGAGACTGGAAGACAAAGCCGGAACATGTGATTTTGCGATTCTACCAAGTCCTTAAATACACTGAAATGAACACACCGTGTAAGGTTTTATCTTACAATTTTATTTAACAATTTTGGTTTTTTGATCAAGTTCGTTAGTTTTAAAATCTGTGATTAGTTAAATATTAAGCTTGGCTGAAATTTTAAATTATAAATCACCTTCAAACAAAAAGTTTTAAGTTTCGATTTCAAGTTTTATCAAATTATATTGTTTTGAAATTTATCAATTTTATCAAAATATATCAGGAAAACCATTCAGTAGTCGAGATATATGACTAAAAAATAATATTTATTGTCAAATAAATGCCGAAACAAAACTGTGAGCAAACTTGGAACACTTTGAAGATGTCCCTTCTATTCTCCTTGGCCATCACTCTTGACTGACAAAAGGTGCTATCTCGTGCCCCGTTTCCGACTGAGGAGGTGCTATCTGACATCTCGAAAGCACTCCCACTCAAAGACGACGTCTCAACCGAACAGTTGAAATTCACCACTGAGTTACTATTCAGTGAGTAGTCGCTTCTGTTGCTAGACGAGATGTGTCCGCTGCGGGGATTGAGAGTTGTTTCGGGGAAAGTAAAACTAGAACTCGGACCTGGATTTAGTGCGTTTGGCGAAACTGCCGGTCGTTTGCTGTCGCTTTCCGAGGTAGAACGAGCACTGTTGCAAAAAGTAGTGATAAATGCAATGAGCCCAAACTTAAAAAGGGTCGGCTGGATCAGTCAGTCAGGAAACTATTGGTCAGCTCTTTATAAATACAATTTCATGACACGATAAATGCATCAGAGCTCAAACAAAACAAATAGAGAGCAACTACCACGCTATATATAAATAAAATGTTTCAATTTAAATGGACCAAAAAAGTCACTAAAGCGATTATTAAAACTTTGTTCAGTAAAAAAAATTTATTTGATCTTTTTTTTGGATTGGAAAATAACCAATTAAACGTTGATCAGATAGATTTGAAACGAAATAACTTCAACGAACCTGTGCTCCGGTAGATTGCACGTGTTCACACTTCCACTAGTCCCACCCAGCGAAGACTCATCCTCGTGCTCAATGCCCCCCTCCTTCTCACTAAACTTCTCCCACTCACTTGCCCTACTACCCCCATTCCCTTCACACTTCTTCCCCCTTTTCAACTTCTCCATCATCTCTGCAGTTGGATAGAGCATGTGTATCATTACTTCGAGCAGACGCAGAACCGAACTGTCCAGTTCGGAGTTGATAGCTGTGCAGTTCCTTTTGAAGACATTAGCCACTTTGTGATTGGTGAAGAGAAGCGAGAACGAAGCTGGTTGAGACTATAAAAATCTCCTATTCTTCATTGAAAAGCTTAGACATAAATTTTGCTCAGTTTTTTTTACCTGGAGAAAAGAAAAATCGCCTAATTGACTTTCAAAATGAGGCCGTCATCTGGTTAGAAACATCATTAGCTGTTGCAGACAAAGTTTCTTGATGACAAAATACAAACAATTCAGTTGAAAAACCAAATGAAAGTAATGAAGTTTATAATAAAAAAGAAAAAAAATGTTATAAATGAACTGCTTATTATAAGAAAATTAGGGCATAAATTTGCCAATTATTTGAATTTTTGAATGAGATTCAACAATGAAGAATAGGAGGCCTGTATGGACACTCTGTGAGACACTGTCGAGAGGAACTCGTCTGCAATCGGCTTCTCATTGCTGCCCCCGCTGTGGTGCACGAAGTCGCTCACCCCCAGGGCGAATGAGTCATTGGTCAGCTGCAGGTGCTCCCACGTGAACAACAGCGCCTCAACTAAACAGAGTAGCGTATATTAAGTCTACCTTTAGGATAGTTGGCGTATAATTGTTCCGACCATTGAAAATGGAGATAAACTTTGTATTTGGGTGCATCTTAGTTTTTTTTGTTCCGGCTGTTTGAAAAACGAGCCGGAATTTTGTATTCGGGTGTGTTTTAGTTTCCATTTGTTTTGTTTTCTTTTCATTTTCCACGCAAAATCAGCTACCACAAATAACCATCGGACTGGGTTGAGTGATATATCATATTGAAGATCTTTCAATCGTGATTTGAAGACCGTAAAAAAATTCAAATTATTTTTCCAAGTGTCGAGAAAAACCGGTTTGAATTTTTTTTGATTTTTGGTCTAATTTTGAGCTAATATGGTGTGAGCGTTTAGGCTTACAATAGCTTATTTAATCTTACTTTAAGCCGTGAAAACTTAATTTTACTCAAATAAATGTAGTTTTGAGTTTTTTAGCGCCATTTTGTAAACAAAAAAAATTCAAAAATTTCTGCAAGAAGTTTTGAAATTTTAAATTTTTTTTTTATTTTTTTCAATTTTTTACTTTTTCCAGTCAATTTTCTTCAAAAACTGTATTCCGCAAGGAAATTTTTTTAAATGACTGTCCAACATGCCTAATTTTTTCTCAGATCTTTTTATCACATTAAGCAGAAAAAAAACGGCACTTATTCGAAAAAAAAATTTTCTCTATTTTTCTAAGACTGTGGTCGGAACATTCTGTGCAACTTGCACAGTAACTGGCTAGCCTTGTTTTTTCTTTTTGTTTTCCACGCAAAATCTGGTTCCACAAATAATCATCGGGTTGAGTTGACTGATATATCATATTAATGCCTTTTCAGTCGTAAATCGAACCACATTAAAAAAATTCAAAACTTTTCTAGTGTCGAGAAAAACCGGTTTGAAGTTTTTGATTTTTTGTCTTAATTCGAGCAAATAAAGCAAGCGAGCAGGCTTAAAACATCTAAATTATGCCTAATTTAAGTCCTTAAAAATTAACTTTAAGCACGTAAAACTAGTTGTTGGAGTTTTTTCTAGCTTCTTTTTGGGAACCAAAAACTTCAAAAAAATTCAAAAATTTTCTGTAAAAAATTTTGAATTTTTTTTCTTTTTTTTATTTTTTTTTAGTTTTTTAGTCTTTTTTCTACAAAATTTTTTCTACAAAATCTCTATATTACTATGACTGTCTAATATGCCTAAATAATGTTTTTACGTCAGATCCTTTTATCACACACAGCAGAAAAAATTACACTAATTTGGAAAAAAAAAATTCCAAGCCGTAATTTTTTAAAGAATATGATCGGAAAATTCTGTACTACTTGCACAGTAACCGGCTATCTTTGTTACTTTTTGAAAATGAACTATTTGGAAATAAAACAACCTCAGAATTTTTTCTGTGTTGCAGAACTTTTTCGAAAAAGTTTAGACACAAGTCATTCAAATTTGCCATTTTGAACTCCCCATTTCGCTTTCACAATCGCCATTAACTTTTTTTCAATTTGGAGCACTTTCATGAACCCCTATAACTTTAAGAATCTTGTAGAATACCAAGTATAGTAACGAAAAAGCGACGTTTTCTTAACTTTTGAAACAGAACTGACGAACGAAACAATTTTGAAAAAATTGCAAGGTAATGAAAAAGAATAGATTGTGCAAAATTTTGAACTAAATCCGGGAATTTACTCACGGAGGTTCCATGCCGCGTCTCTATACATGTAGCCATTCTTCTTATCAAACCCAGGCGACAACAGGCATGTTATGGACACTGGGCTCTCTCCTGGCAACATAAATGCTCCATACTTCAGCGTCGGCCCCATGAACGCTTCCAGAGCATCTCTCAGGAAATCAACTTTTTCCTGCATTAAGCCAGCTGTGCTCTCTGTATCAATTAGCAGAAGCACCATGTCATCAATATTCTGACAGGCGACGTTGACTGAGCCACTGGTCACGACAATTGGCTCGTTGGTTAAAACCTCAAACTGCTGCGTGTGGTTCGCAAGACGACAGCATTTGTCGACTATGTGTCGAACGCAGACTTCACTAAATGATTATAAAATTTTTATGACAACGTCCATTTGTAGTTTGTAGACGTTCTCAAAAATTTAGAAAAGGCGGTTATTAAATGGAGTAGTTATTATCAGAGGCAAGAATATCAGAGGCAAATTTATCAGTTAGTTATCATCACCGTTTCCATCCCCACACCCACCCCGACGGCTCCCCCTGCCTCTGCCCCGCCCCCAATATTTACCACATCCGCACATGATAGAGATTTGGGTGGAATTTTTTGGGAGGGGAACATAATTGGCGGGGAGGGGGGGGGGCTGTTTTTAAAGGTATATGTTGGGCAGCGGGGCAAACGTAAATACATACATACACCTATACATACATGCACTCATTAACAGAAAAATACGCAAATTTTTGGACAAATTTCTCCAAAAAAAGACTAAAAAAGGCATTTTGATCTATTGTTTTAAAAACTTGCCTACGGCACAAAAAATATTGTCAAAAAATGTTCGTATAAAACTTTTTGGAGGGTCGAGAAAAATAAGTTTGGTCAACTTAAAAGAAGGTAGCCAAAATCTTCCATACATTTTTTCTAATCAGCCTCTGCCCTCTCGCAAAAAAAGGTACAATTGCCAGCAGGTAACCAGTTTTAATTAAAATTTGCAACCGATTTTGTGTGCGTTGAGTCTTGCATTTCAACCACTCTGAAAAAAAGGACAAAATTATAATTGAGTTTCATGGAGTTTCATTTCTCTATAAAAAAGTTTATTCGATTAAATTTATCTTTCTGAAATAATAGCCATGTAACTCACATTATTCCGACCATTTGAAAAATAAGAGGAACTTTGTATTCTGGTGTTTTCGGTTCTTTCTTTGTTTTGACGCAAAGTCGGGTACCATAAATAATCATCGGAATGGGTTGAGTGATATAATAAAGCCCCTTTAGTCGTAATTCGAACAAACTTTAAGAAAAATTAAAAAACTTTCTCAGTTTTTGTTGATTTTCTGTCTAATTTCGAGCAAATGAAGAGAGCGTGCAGGCTTGTAATATGCTTGTAATAAAAAGCTTTTAGTTCAAATTGAGCCGTTAAAATTTAATTTTACTCCAGTGTAAAGTTAGTTATCGAAAATTCTTTTAACGCCTTCTTTGAAAGAAAACATGTAGAAAACCTTGTAAAAATGTCTGCAGAAAATTTGAAAGTTTTTTCAATTTTTTTTTACTGATATATTTTAATTTTTTCTGTATTTTATGAAGCAAATTGCCGACAAGTTAACCTAATTTACCAGTCAAAGTTTTATTGGAGTTCCTATTTAAATGTACCTATTGAAGTTCTAGGCTTTTGTTTAGATCTTCTCATCTTACCAAAAACAAAAAATGACGCAATTTGGGAAAAAAAGAAACTTTTCATGTAGTTTTTTAAGAATATGGTCGGAAAATTTTGTTATATTTGCACAGTAACCGGCTATCCTTGTTTTGAATTGATTTTAATCGATTGGTTCTCACTTTTATAGACAATGACAATAATAGTCAATTGTAAGCGATTTTTATCCAAGGAACGCGGTGCAGGCCAACAAGGTAGCTGGAAAAGATTATGTGACCCTTATGTGACTTAGAATCGAATAGTTACCAGTTATCACTTTCACAGGCGTATCCTCATTCCACCCCTGCCTCAAATAATGTTTATTCTACAGTCAGTGGCAAGCGCAGGATAGTTTCTCCGATTATCTCTACACCATCTTGGCAAAGTTTTCAAGTTTTTTTTTTGATCAGTATATGCTAGATTTTGAATGAAAGGTTGCGTTCTTTGGGCACATTATCTCTCTTCTAATTTAAAGCATAGTAGCGCAAAAGGCGCCTTTTGATAGTTTTTATGGTTGGCCAGCCCGAAATGGCTGTCAAAAAAGCAGTAACAAAAAGTAAAGGGGGAGAGCGACAAAGAGCGAAATAAAAGAGTTTTCCTAATTTCTGATAAAAACATTTGGCTGATTACTACCTTGTGGCAATTAAGTTTTCTTCTGCAATCCAATCCAAGAAACCGAGGTCATGTTGCAAAAAAAGCAGAGCCGGTATTTTAGGCTGCAGAACCAACGAGGCTTTCATTGATGAACAAGGTCAATTGCAAAAGTTATACTCTGATAAACACCGAAAATAACAAAAGGTTAATGATCATTCGACATTTAAGTTTTATGCATAATTTCCTCATTTAAAATGGAGCAAGGTTCATAATTTGTTCCATTTCAGCTTCTATGAATACTATTATTTAGAGCTCTCCTATTTGGACTAAACTCAGTATTATTTGTATCATAATGTTTGCCCCTTGGCTTGGTTGCTAGTGTCATCATCTCATTTTAACTTTTGACAATAAATTCATCAAACAACGCTTTCAATAGATCAATTTATTTTGAATACTTTCGCAATTCATAACCTTGCCTTATCTTAATTGATTTGTTGTGATGAGGAAATAAAGATGTTTTCTCTAAAACTTACAAAAAGTTTCCTCAAAGCCTCTCGACGGGTTCAATAGTTTTCTCAACAAGTTCAATAACTTAATTTTCCGGACAAAACAATCTTGCGCTTGTTATCCCTAAATTTTCCTAAAATTATATGTTCAAGTTTTACGCGGCATTTTCATTTGATTATGTGCAAAATTAATCCAACCAACAGATATGCCCGCACTTTTTAGAGAGTTGCAAAAAGAGCAAACAAACAAAATAATAGTTTTGATGCCAAAAACAAGTTTTTCAGGCAATAAAAAATCAGGCGCTGTGCATTCTAAGATCTAAGACTCATTTCATTTAGTGGATAGAGAGGGGGCAGTGGGCGGACGTCCCTTCCCCTGATTTTTGGGCGGCTAGCGATGAATTCTTTTTAAGATTCGTCGATGCAATATTTCACGAAATTTTACGAGAAAGCGCGCTGTAATAGTCAAATACTGCACTAATTATCTTTGTTGTTTTCTTATCTTAAGTAGAATTTTTTTGTTTAAAAAAAACAATGCTCGTTGACAGAAACTTTTGTTTCAGTTAGTATCTTAATTTAAGCAGAAATCCTAGTTTTGATTTTTCATAGATTATTGTCGATCTAATCTGTTCTTAATGTTTAAGCAATTTGTATAAAACAGATAAATTAAAATTGATCATTTAATCTAGAGAAAAGATTTTTAAAAGATTAGGAAATTCTCTTAGATACTAAAAAATAATTGGGGTTTCAAGCTTAAGTTTTTTAAATTTGTATGCATAG